AGATCAAAAGATGGTCCTTGGCCCATCACAGATTTTCAACATAACCCTACATGGCTATTGTAAAGGCCATAGGACAGAAGTGTGTCTGGCCCATCTTGTCTTTGCCTCAGGTGGTAAAATGTCTTGGGCCCAGATCAGATTAAATGCCTGCCAAAGTTTTCTCTGAACCTTTAATGCAGCACTGAATTTTGATAAATCTTAGAGGCCCAAAGGATGGGTGTACATACTTCTTTGCTCATTATGGGCAGTCCCCAGGATATAAATATCTGACTAACAAAGAACTCATAGTTAAGAACAGGGGTGAGACAAAAGGAAGTGCGATATATCTACTCCTAGGAAGGGAAATTCTCTCCTGAAAGATTTATCATGGGGAATAGGTGTCTCCACTAAAGCTTTATCATCAATCCTTGTTTCCAGAACAAGCCAAATTTGTCAAAATCCAATTACCACAGCGACAGAAAGTGAGGTGATATCATCTGAATAGGGGCACAGATGGAAAAACAAACACCACAGGGGTATTAACCCTTCTGTATGCTATCCAGAGCTAGACAATATACCTGTCTAGCTCTGGATGTACCTGTTCAAACTTACATACAAATTCAACTTATGAACAAACCTGCAGAACCTATCTTGTTTGTAACTTGGGGACTGCCTGTATTGGTTCAAAACTTTTCTACTATCGTTATTGTTGTGTGGCTTCAAGTCATTTCTGACTTATGGAAACCCTAAAATGGGTTTTACTTAGCAAGATTGGTTCAACCTTTATCTCCCTCTGAGGCTGAAGGAGTGTGACTTGCTTAAGGGCACCCAGTGGGTTTCCATGACCAGGTGGAGATTCATATTCTGGTCTCCCAGTATCCTAGTCATCATCCAAACCACTACATCATGTTAGTTGACCTTTCTTAAATGTTCTTTCTAACATAATGTGGGAGGGATACAAATGGAATAAAGAAATTTTGAATACAATTAAATGCTTTTTAAAATAATCCATAAAAGCAGCAGCAGAACATCCGACGATGAGAAGATAACACCATAACAGCAGTCAAGCCAATCAAAGAGAATTCACCAAAGCCACCAATGACAAAAAGACCTATTTAAAAAAGAAAGGGATCACACTGCAGGGAATCATAAGGCTGAAAGAAGAGCCCTAAGCAGATCAGACCAACAGTCTCTTTAGTCCAGCATCCTGTTTCCTACTATGATCAACTGCCTCTGAGAAGCTCACTACCAGCAGAGCATGAGTTCAATGATACTCCAAGCCCCACTTCTCATTTAACAACTGGTATTCAGAAGGAGGAAGTAAACAGATTCGCCGACACTGTTGCCTAAATGGTGCAACAAGACTATTAAAATGCATTGGTCCTTGTTGTAATGCATGGGATAGGATTGCCGGATCTCAGTGCCTGGTCCTGAATCTCTTCCACCCAGAATATCAATCCCATAATATCTGCTTTGAACTGGGATATCTGAATCCATACTGCCACATATTCTAGTTCAAAGCAGATATTGTGGGATTTTCTGTCTTGATATTCTGGATTATATGGCAGTGTAGAAGGGCCCTTAGCCTGCATGCCTTTCTTTGATCATCTGGCCAAGGGGGAGGAATCTCAGGGCAAGAACACTGCCTTGAAATGTGTGAGTTTGTACGTATATAGATTTCCTCATTTGTTAGATTTGGGTTTTTACTTACTATAAATGGCATCTGTGCAGCTGTCATGGATATGTAAAGTATCATATTCCTCTTGAAACAGCATCCTTGTAACATCACCAGGATCGACTACCTACAACATGGCAAGAGGTCAACCCTAGGTCTCAAGGTTTGGTCTTGACATTTCAAGGCCAGTGATAGTGTTGACTTAGGAAACCTAGCATGGGGTGTAATTAGGGGAACAAAACTTGGCTCAACAGCTCCTCATCGTGACCAAACCTACTTTGTTTGTCTACTGGATAATGATGAGCCTTGGCGTCCATGAATTGAGCCTACATCCAGCTTTAGGAATGGCACCTAAAAAAGTTGCACAAGAACACAAAAAGTAGGAGAGGGATGCAAAAATGTATCCCAAAGGTATCTAGAAAACAATAACATGAGTATCACAAAATAACTGTTGCAGAAGAATGAACCCAGATCTTGGCAATTCAGTAACAAGAAGCACTTCATGTTGTTATAACTTTGCAATGCATAACTCCAAATGTTTGGACATAATTAATCATTTAGTACATTTAGCATCTGTCAAATGTACTAAAAACCTGCTTCAACTGCAACCCAAAAACTTCAACATAGTTTTGTTTAATGACCTTGGAGAAACCACTGAAATAATTCACCCCTGTGTGCCATTGGTTCCTGAAATGCAGATAAAGCTTACCTTCCTCATGGGGGGTGCAGGTTGCAGAGAGCTAGAGAGGCTTAATTCATTAGTGATAATCAAGCACATTGGATGTCATGCGTGGAAAAACTGTAGCAAAGGACAACTTCTTAACTTCTTAGCTTCAGCCTGGAAATAGTAACAAGGTTGGCAAAATGTTGTGTGTGTGCCATTGAACAGAAACAGGTCAGATATGCTTCAAAGAATAAATTCTCACATTTATTCTTACTTTAATTCCTGCAAACCGAATTCAAAACATAAAAATAATTCACACTCAACTTAGCAGGAGAAAGAAATGCTCAGGAAAAAGCAAACAGCTACCTTGTGTGTTTCTCCTCATTAATAACTTTTGCCATCTTGACCACGCTCTAATGTTGCTTCACCATACATGATTCTAATTTGTGAAATATTGGGGAAATATACACCATTAGTAATGTTGTCCCATTATGCCATGGTCATGACTTCAGTAGATGAAATAAGGAGAAGATATTCCAGGCATCAAAACGTCTTGTGTCTAGTGATGGTACTGATAATACTTAAATGAGGCTATTCACTTCTCTGTAGGGTTACAATTTCCACAGCTCCACAAGTGGAAGGAATAACTATTCAGCTAGCTTTTACCAGCTCCCTGGCTTTTGGGCCAGGCTTTAACACAGCTGGTAAATAGCCAGCAATGATAAGATCTACCAATTGAAAGGTTGCCAGTTTGAAGCCCTGGATCAACATGAGCACCCGACTGGCAGCCCAGCTTGCTGTTTATGTAAGCAGTTTGAAAACAGCTTGAGCTTTTTTCAAACTGCTTTTAGGTACTGCTAAAGAAAACAAGCGGGGAGGTATTTTACAACACCATAAAGAAAAAGATAAGAAAAAGCCTAGCAACCAAAAGGAAGGAGGAATTCCTGATGGCTCTTCATCATAGAGCATGGAGCAACAGCACCCCCTGTGGCTGGATTCGAGCACAATCTCTGAAGCTCCAAAAAAGCTAGATGTTGACACAACATACCTCCTTTGTATTCTGTCTGTCTCTGTCCTATTAAAATGGCATTGAATTTTTGCCATGCATGTGTAGTGTGATCCACCCTGAGTCCCCTTGGGGAGATAGGGCAGAATATAAATAAAGTGTTATTTTTATTATTATTGTTATTGTTATTAGTATACTGACACAAAAACGCAATATTTCACAACAAACGAGATATATATGCTTGATTTCGTATCAGATTTATAATAATAATAATAATAATAATTATTATTATTATTATTATTATTATTATTATTATTATTATTACCCGGTGGTGCAATGGGTTAAACCTTTGTGCTGGCAGGACTGCTGACCAAAAGGTCAGCAGTTCAAATTCAGGGAGCGGGGTGAGCTCCCATCTGTCAGTCCAACTTCTCATGCAGGGACATGAGAGAAGCCTGCCACAGGATGGTAAAACATCTGGGTGTCCCCTGGGCAATGACCTTGCAGATGGCCAGTTCTCTCCCACCAGAAGTGACTCCTGACACCAAAAAAGCCAGTATCCAGAATATGTCAATTGGCAGAAAAATTGGAAAAATTATTTCTTTGACTATACTTCCCAGAGTCTCCCAAGCAGCATGACCATTGGCTGTAGCTGGGTGAGTGAATCTCAGAGTTGTCGTCCAAAAAGCACAATAGGCAAGCTTGTGTGGCAGCCTTCCCAAACCTCTGCAGATGTGCTGAACAACAGTTTCCATGGTGAGGCTTTATTGCAACACATCTGATGAGCAGCAGGCAGAATAAGGACGGCTGTTGCATGAGTTGGAAGACACAAGGAGCAAGCAGACAAAACAAACAAAATAGCGATATCAGAAACAGAAACCTTTATGGGGCTTTTCACAACTTCATCTCAAGAAACAAATGAGAGCTTTTGCAACCATTAGGAAATAGCTAATCAAACTAATCAAAGCAATGGCATATGGCCGTAACAGGACTTTGAATAAGCAGCTTAACCACATGATTGATTGATTAAACTTGGGTTATACTGCTACCTAGAGAGTAAGAGAGACATGAAATTGTCATTGCTGAGATTGCACAATGAAGCAAGGAATGTGACCTTAAAAAACACAACACGTTAAACTTAGCTGACTCAAGACTTTGTATTACAAGTCAGACAATTTTGATTACATGTAAGTGTTCTATAGCAACTGTTCAACAACTTAAATAGACTGCCTTCTGTTTTGCCATTTCCAACTGTTGCATTGAATTATTTCACACTCCTTCCACTTTTTGCACCAAGCTAGAATTTCAGGGCTTGTTTGGGTTTTTTTTACCCAAATGAACACCTTTATAAGAATCTCTATGTCCTCCAATGCAACTCTATGGCCAGATCATAAGATCTGTACTAGTTGTTTTTGTGCCGTCTTTCCTACTACTGCAGCGATTTACTCTTCTCCTCCTCCTTCTGGCTCCTTCTCGTTTCCTTCTCATGCAAATTTATCCCCTTCAAATGCTTCTTCTGCTTCTCCTCCTGCTTCCTTTTAAATCAAATTGTCCTCTTCCTCTTCTTCCCTTCTGCTTTTTTCTCTACCTTTCACACTACACAAATGTAACCTATCCCACAGACAGAGATGATGTTTTTTCAGGTGACTAATGTGGGTTTATGGTTTGGATTGCAGGGCAAGATGGCCCAGGATATGACCGAGAAGGAGCTCCTAAAGATGGAAATAGATCAACTGAAAAAGGAAGTGAAGAACGAAAGACTAATGGTAACCATTTCTTCACTCCACTCTGGTACAAAATATCAAAGCATTGTCTGGCAAAAGCCATCCAGTTGTTGTCAGTGTTTCAGGTTTTTGGAGTTATCAAAAACATATTTTTAGCTGCAACTGGACAAGACCTGGGCAAGACTGACCCCGTTTATTCTAGGGAGATAACTTGTCAGAAGACTTTTCCACTGGTCTGTTTGTTGTTGTTGCAATTTGCCATCAAGTTAGTCTCAACCCATGGTGATCCTATGGACAAAAGGCCTCTCAGAGACAATAACAACCCTGCCAGGTCTTACAAATTCAGGGATATGACTTCCTTGAATGAGGCCCCTTCTACACTGCCATATAAAACCTGCTTTGAACTGGATTATATGGCAGTGTATACTCAGATAATCCAGTTCAAAGCAGATAATGTGGATTATCTGGTTTGATAATCCAGATTATATGGCAGTGTAGGAGCCTCTGGTACTGCAATGGGTTAAACAGTGCATTTTAATATTGAGATACATGTTTTTTATGTTTATGTATGCATATAATGAATTCTTGTCCCGGCATTGAATGTTTGCCGTATATATGCTGTGCTCCGCTCCGAGTCCCCTTTGGGGTGAGAAGGGTGGAATATAAATGTTTTAAATAAATAAATAAATTGAACCCATGTGTCAGCAGGACTGCTGATCAAAAAGTCAGTGGTTTGAATCCGGGGAGCAGGGTGAGCTCCCATATGTCCACTCCAGCTTCTCATGTGGGGACATGAGAGAAACCTCCCACAGGATGATAAAACAGATGCAAATTGACTCCCATTTGACTGAGTAATGTCTTTTTCAGTGAGTCACTGTGTCCCATGACGTGCCCAATGTATAATAGCCTCAGTGTAATTATGTTGGTTTCTACTGGGAAATTAGGTATGATTTCCTCTAATACCAAATCATTTCCCTTTTTGGTGACCTCATCACACTAGAGAATGAATTTACTTTAAATCTGGTTTCTGTCTCCCATAGAATCCTGGGGATTGTAGTTTAGTGATGATGTTAAAGGCTCTTCTCTAAGCTACAAAGCGTCAGAATTCTGCAGGAGGCACCAATCAGATTTCACATGGATTCATTCAGTAGTGTGATGAAGTATAGAACTCTCCCAGAGCATCGTATTTCAAATGAACCAGTACTCTTCCTGCCAGGTTTCTTCACTATCCAACTGTATTGTGCCTCCTATTAAACCACTAGGCTTAGTTCTTGGTCAGGCATCAAAAATTCACGGGCCAGGTGCTTTCAACGCTTTCTTTTTCTTTTCTGTCACAGGTCTCAAAGACAGCTAAAGAACTCAAGGATTATATAGAATCCATGGCTCCCGAAGACCCTTTCTTAAAAGGCATACCGGAGGACAAGAATCCATTCAAAGAGAAGGGAGGTTGTATAATAAGCTGACCAAGGCCCCACCCAGAGAAGATCTTTGTTGCCCTCCGTATACAATACCAAGACACTGTGGATTTTACTTACCTGTCTAGTATAATCGAGTCTAAATGGATCTTCTGCAGGGGCAAAACAATAAATAAATAAATTTGGACTGCTATGCTGGGAATTGGAAAAGCGGTCTCCAGCAAGATAAAACAACAAAGAGGATAACCTTGTTCTTAGGAGTCAAAGACATACCTGTGTTAGTCTGGATCAGTATGTGAAGGGATCTTGTAGCACCTCTGAGACCGAGGCCCCATCTATACTACCATATAATCCAGATTATCAAAGCAAATAGTCCACATTACCTGTTTTGAACTGAATTATATGAGACTACACTGCCATACAATCCAGTTCAAATAAAATAATCTGGATTTTATATGGCAGTGTAGAAAGGGCTTGAGAGAAAGCTGGTGGCATGAACCTTCATAGACTTAAGTCTACTCCACTAGTTGCCTTAAGTCTATGAAAGCTTATGCTACCAACTTCTTACTCTCAGTTAGTCTCAAAGGTGCCACAAACTCTCCCCATTTTAGGAGTTCAAGTTCCACTTCCTTTTTGTAAATACACCACAGTCTGTTTCCCTAAGGAGCTGACTTTTAATGGATGTAGACATTTGGGTTTCATTGGCTTAGCATTTCATAGTTTGGTTTGGGTTTTTTAAGTAGACAGCAAACGGGATAGAAGGGCTAACCACTGTGTAGGGTAGCTACGCCTTTTTAAAAGACATGTATCTTTAACAACGAACGTGAGCATGCTCCTTTCTATCAAGGGCCACATTCTTTCAAAGATAATCAGGTAGTTCTCCATACTATTATTTCTCTTTTTTGTTACTCTTTCCTCCTACTCGTCACACTATCCTTCTCTCGTCTTTCTCTCTCCCTATAAGATTTCTCCTTTAGTCCAATATTTGCATGTGACATTATCTCATTTTCTCCCAGTTTCAGTTAATTTGGACAAGGGAAAGCAATGAATTAGGAGATATAAAATCCTTTTTCTCCCAAAAGCTTTATTCCCAACACTCTTAAAGTCTCAGATTTCAGGTTTTAATAACATCTACACAAGTTGAGCAATTGTTTAAACTCCTTTCTCCTGGCCAGTTGTATCACTAGGTTTGGTGTCACCTCTTATTAAAAAAAACCACACACACAGAAGCAACTAAAACAACAGCACAAATAGACAAAATCACACAATTTGGAGTACACTGTAATTGGATAATTATGACAACTCAGGCCAGAGTGCATGAGCATTAGCATATTGTTTTAGCTTTGTAGGTATTGATGCAACACATGTAAGCTGGGCTTACAAAAATGTTTTTGTGGTTATAACTAACTACAGGGATATTTTGTATAAAGAATGATACATTTCTGCTGAAACGCTGCACAAAAAAAATGTATAGACCAGTGTTTCTCAACCTTTCTAATGCCTTGACCCCTTAATGTTGTGGTGACCCCCAACCAGAACATTATTTTCATTGCTACTTCATAACTGTGATTTTGCTACTGTTGTGAATCGTAATGTAAATATCTGATATGCAGGATGTATTTTCATTCACTGGACCAAATTTGGCACAAATATCCGATATGCCCAAATTTGAATACTGGTGGGGTTGGGGGAGGGATTTTTTTGTCATTTAGTTGCTGTCTCTTATAGTTCACCTACAATCAAGGAGCATTCTGAACTCCACCAATGATGGAATTGAACCAAACCTGGCATACAGAACTCCCATGACCAACAGACAATACTTGAAGGGCTTGGTGGGCATTGACCTTGAGTTTTGGAGTTGTAGTTCACCTATCTCCAGAGAGCACTGTGGACTCAAACAATGATAGCGCTGGACCAAACTTGGCACAAATACTCAATATGCCCAAATGTGAACACTGGTGGAGTCTGGGGGAAACAGACCTTGACATTTGAGAGTTGTAATTGCTGGGATTTATAGTTAACCTACAATCAAAGAGCACTCTAAACCCAGCCCACAACGGATCTGCACCAAACTTGGCACACTACATATATGGCCAACACTGAATATTGGTGGGGTTGGGGGACTGTTTTTGAATTTTGGGAGTTGTAGTTCATCAACACCAAAAAGGAAGAGAAGGACAGACAAAGAGATCTTCAGCCTTCTCTGCCAAATATGTGTTTTCTGATAGTCTTTGGCCACCCCTCTGAAACCCTCCTTGCGACCTCCAGGTTGAGAAACACTGGTATAGACAGTCACTTTGGTGTCACCTGGTGCAATTGCACCCCACAGCCCCCTAGTGACACTACTGCTCCTTCTTTCAGACTAAAATCAGATTTAGGCTTTTGAACCCTATGGACGAAGCAGAACAGAATGTATTACTGAAGCCAAGGCCTAAATGGGGTCCATAATTTTTGTCAAGGATAGCTATGGGTTGCTTTTTCTCAGTACCAATGCAAATTGGTCTTTCAACATCATCAGCATCCTCATTCTTAATTGTCTTGTCAAGTAATATTAGTAATATTTTGAAGCCGGCTTTTAAATTGTCAATTGTATTGTGATGTACAAATGCATGTGTCAAACTGTTAAAATTAAAAATGCAGATTTTGTGTGCAGCACTGGGAATGCTCTACTTTGATTTTTATTGTTTTGTTTTGCTTGGTTTGAAGCTCAGACAAAAGCATTTTGAGGGGGAGTATAGTTAATTCATGAAATAGTGGGATGGCAATTCTGAAATGGAAATGTGAGGCTGTGTGAAAAGTCATCTCCCATCCACTCTTTTAAAGGGAGAACTACAAAATAAATGGAAGGACAAAATGAGTGTATTCAATAGAGTTGTGTACAGATCTGTTTTCGTTCATTATATTCATTCTTTTGTTACCTTCAGGAGCACGTAGCAGAAAGCCCCCTCTCTGTACAAAAATCAACTCGACATGAAAGCAAGCAGGAGCCGATCCCGGCTCCTCGCCTGCTTTTCATGAGCAGCCTCCTTGCTTTGGAAAGAGTGCATGTGTGTGGTGTGCAGGCCCAGAAAGCACACGTGCCTTCCTCTAGAGTATGAAACAGAATTTGCCTCCTTGGCTTCGAGAGAGTGCGTGTGTGGTGTGCAGGCCCAGAAAGTGTGTGCGCCTGCCTACAGCCAAATGCCTCCTATAGAGTAAGAAACAGAACTTGCCTCCTTGCCTTGGAGAGTGTTTGTGTGGTGTGCAGGCCCAGAAAGTACATGCACCTGCCTGCAGCCGAGCACTTCTCCTCTAGAGTACAGAAACAAGTAAGAAGTCTCCTTAAAGCACGCACCTGCCTGCAACTGATGCCTCTCCTCTAGAGGAGAAACAGTTTAAATGCCAATGATGGGAAGGGGAGTCTGGGAAGCCTCCCCCCCATAATGGGCCAATAGAAAACAGATCTTTTGGCACCCCAAAATGAAAACAGATACCTATCCTCCTAATTTCAGGAGGCTCCCCAAAAGCAGATTGGGGCCCCCACCAAAAACTGGGACACAAAACAGTTCAAAGATTACCCGGAATGCACAACGCTAGTGCCTATTTTAAAGGAGGGATGGGAAATTTGCAATCTTCCAGAGGTTGTTCTAATACAACTTCCAGTATGTCTGCTCATTTGTTATGCTGCTGCGATGCGTTGGAGTTGGTCTCTAAAAAGATCTGGAGGAATCTTTTTATGGGTTCATGTCCCATAAATTGACTTGAAAGTTTCAATAAATAAGAACGATTCCGTATTAAGCAATAACTGAGCAACTGGTACTATGCAGAAAGCAACCTGTTGACTTCATCAGTATAACTGTCAGGCTCACCTCATTCCTAACAACAAACAGAGCACTATGCACAAGCTTGATACTCTATCAGTATAGCAATACATGGGCAATGGCCTAACAGGTGGTAGGCTGTTAGGAATTGTGGGAGGTGAAGTCCAAAATACCTGGAGGGTCAAAGTTTGCCATGGTTATGTTAAGGCAATCGTTCTCAAGTTCTGTATTTCAAGATGCTCAAGGCTCCCCAAATTCCTGAGCATTAACCATGTTGACTGAGACTTCTGGGGACTTCCAACAATCGTTTGACCAAAGAGGTAGTAGCACTGACTTAGATAATAGAACTCCAATCTCATCTGACTTAGAATATTGGAGGATGCTATCCTAGCGTCAAGAAAGATGCAACTTGTACATGTAAGAGCAAATGTATGTTGTTGAAACCAGGAACAAACTGTCTTTGGCTAGCTCTGGCATCAATCTAATGATTGATTCTCTCTCTCTCTCGTCGACCACGGTATCCTTCTGGGACGCCTCGCGGGAATGGGTCTTGGGGGTACTGCTTTGCAGTGGCTCCAGTCCTTTCTCGAGGGGCGCTCCCAGAAGGTGTGATTAGGGGACTCCTGCTCGACTCCGCGGCCATTGTTCTGTGGGGTCCCGCAGGGTTCTGTACTGTCCCCTATGTTGTTTAACATATACATGAAGCCGTTGGGAGAGATCATCCGGAGTTTTGGGGTGCGATGTCATCTGTACGCAGATGATGTCCAACTCTATCACTCTTTTCCACCTACCACTAAGGAGGCTGTTCAGGTCATGAACCGGTGCTTGGCCGCTGTCTCGGACTGGATGAGGGACAACAGATTGAAACTAAATCCAGACAAGACAGAGGTACTCCTGGTCAGTCGTAAGACCGAACAGGGTACGGGGTTACAGCCTGTGCTGGACGGGGTCACACTCCCCCTGAAAGCTCAGGTACGCAGTCTGGGAGTTCTCCTGGATTCATCGCTGAGCCTGGAACCCCAGGTCTCAGCGGTGGTCAGGGGAGCATTCGCACAATTAAAACTTGTGCACCAGCTGCGTCCGTACCTTGGGAGGGCTGACTTGGCCACGGTAGTACACGCTTTGGTTACATCTTGCTTAGACTACTGCAACGCTCTCTACGTGGGGTTGCCTTTGAAGACTGCCCGGAAGCTGCAGCAAGTCCAACGCGCGGCAGCCAGATTACTAACGGGGGCTGGGTACAGGGAGCATACCACTCCGCTGTTACGCCAGATCCACTGGCTGCCAATTAGCATCTGAGCACAATTCAAAGTGCTGGTGTTGACCTATAAAGCCCTAAACGACTCCGGCCCTGTTTACCTCTCCGAACATATTCTCCCCTACGAACCATCAAGATTATTAAGATCATCTGGAGAGGGCTCTCGGTCCCACCGGCCTC